ATAAAAAGTGGTTTTTAAGAGTTTTTGTCAAATGCTTTATAATATAGCATAGATACCGCCAAACCCTAAACTTCCAGATATAACAACGAAAACGACGATAACAATCCAAAATCCATCCAAATGCAATCTGTTGTGTTCAATTAGAAACTACAAAAATTAAATTAAACAGGAATAGAAAACGAATATGAACCTGTAAACTGCAATCTTTTCTAATCGCTGCGATTACGAACGAATACCTCAATTGTGCCCGCACGAGATCTCTTTGCAATGGTGCGAATTAGGGTTTCCTGAATCTGTTCTTGAACAAAAAGTTGGCTAAAGAAAAAAAGAAATAGATTACCTCCTCTAATTTTGGATTGACGCTAATGGATTGAAAATATGTCAAATATATACGCATCTCTAAATTCTGTTGGAGTCGATTATCTCAATCGTAATCTGGAACCGATGAAATCGGATAGGGATGAAATCGTTTAGGGAGGGAATTGGGTTTCTGTTGGCGATGAAATACGATAGGGATGAAATCGGATAGTGATGAAATCGGATAGGGATGAAATCGTTTAGGGATGAACGAGTTTAGGGATGGCTTTGATAGGTTGTATCATTAGCAATAGAGGTTGTCTTTAAGAGTTTTAGCCAAATGTTTTATAAGATAGTATAGATTATAATAAAAAAAATTGAATTAAAAATTACATAAAAAAATGAGGAATTTTAAACAGTTAATTTGATACTAATATCGATATATTTTTGTTATGCATAAAGTACTGTATATTGATGCATATTACTTAAAATTCAAGATTATAAGTAAATTATGATAAGTACAACTTATTAAAGCTCGATGTTTGAATTCGTATAACTAACTGCGGATAAACATAATCATTTTAAAATATAAAAAATTTAAAATATAATTAGGATAATTATCGAGTTCTAACAAAATAAATAGTTATTATCTTTATAAGAAAAATATATTATTAAACCAAATATAAATTACTTCGTTATTGTACCTAAATTAAATTATAATAAAAAAATTGAATTAAAAAACTACACAAAAAATATGAATTTTAAATAGTTAATTTGATACCAATATCGATATATTTTTGTCAAATTTTTATAATATTTTGAAACGTATATTTTATTCAAAAATAAAAACATCATCGTTTTCTCAAAATCACATAAGACTATATTATAATATCGAATACCCTTCTAATATATATATATATATAGAGAGAGAAAGATTTTAGTTTTGATTTTCGTTATAAGTTTACATGTTATTTTCAATTAACTTCTTTCATCAAACCAAAATGTCAGAGGACAATGATTTTTGAACAGTTGTCATAGATCAATAAAAGTAAAACCATAACAGAATGTTTTATTTCTTTAATCAATTCTGTCATTATTGATTTAAGAAAAAAAAAAGTATTCCACCAAAGAAATGACAAAAGACTCTCTCTTTTGTCTTCTACTAAGAAAAAGCCAACCACTCATTTCGAATCGACATGAATGAGAATGTCGACTTGAAGTTAGAACTGATCACCAAGTCTAAACAGGTCCCAAGCTTTCCCACCATTATCATTACAAGAAATTAAGAAAACTTATGGACAACAATCAGTATTAGTATAAACTAGGAAATGTTACCGCGTGAATGAAGAAACACATCGAGAAATTTGAATTAAATATAAAGTGGTAAAAGTATCACAATAATAATGTTAGAATTGTATGTTCGAATGTTTGGTTTTGTAAGCATAAAGAGAGTTGCAATATATTGTTTAGAGAAAATGAATATGTGGTGTGAAAGAATTTTAGGTTGTGATGGAGTATGTGATTTAAGAAATTAATTAGTGAGAAGTTTAGATATCACATTTTGTTATGAGCACGCTATTAAATTGTGAAATGGTACGAAATACATTTGGTAGATGTAAAACTAACATTCATGCTTTTGATTGTCTTATTATAAGAATAATATAATCGTGTAATTTATTGCATGTGATAAATAAAAGTATAATGTATAGATAATTATTGTCAATTCGGTATATTACTTGGTGAGACAACTACATATTACTTTCTACCATAAGCAATCCAATAAACTTGTGACATGGTTGAAAATCCGTTGCTTGATAGCAGACTCGTTTTCCTGTAGAAAAAGTCATTAAATGAAAAATATTAGTTTATATATTGTGTTAGTGTTATAGCTAATCAATATTTAATAATTACTATAAATCTTGAGCATGTCGTACCTGAAGATCATGAGTTATTGAAGAAATAATTTGGAAGACTTCCTTGAAAACAATATTTTTAATGAAGGTTCGATCTTCAATCTCATTGTCGGCATTTAGTATGACCAACCCTTCACGTGATGTAACTCGTGATACAGCAACATACAGTTGGCCATGGGTAAACACTTGGTTCGGAAGATACAAGCCAACATGGCGTAGTGATTGTCCTTGACTTTTATTTATTGTCATGGCAAAGCATGTTGCCAAAAGAAGCTGATACTTATTGAGCTTGAATGACCATCTTGTTTCATTTGGGGAAAATTACTAACAATCCTCGAAAGATCTCGTTTCACCGTATCCCACACGGGTTCAGTCAATGTGTTCGACGGTGACCCAAAACCAATTATGTCGGACTGTTAGCATTAGCATTACGGTTGAGGTTAGAAGGCCGTGGAGGTGCGGTAGGGATAGATGTTGGTTTATGAGGAAGGTTGGATGGGATGAAGGGGGAAGAAGATACGGGAATGGATGCGCGCGTAGGAGATGGTGGACGGCCAGGGAGGACAGTAGCGAGACCCGATTGGACGTTGTAGTTCATGAGGTTTTCGATCTCATCGATGTCAGATTAGGAGGGTTGGTTGAGGGGGACGGTGTCTCGTTTGGCGTATAATATCTTATTTCTGGAAACTGCGGTGGCGATTGGGCAGATCTGAGGGAAATGAGGATGGCGATTCAGAGCTTCCTTATCTGGGAAGGTGGACTCCTTTTTACTTGAGACAAACATGTGAAATTACAAAAGATATCCAACTGTGGATTGAGATGAGAGATGGTAAATAACAAAAATGTAACTTATTAATGGAGAAGAAGAAACCATGAAGAAGAAGGGAAAACGGAAAGGTGGAAGACTGAAGGTTTTGCTTTGAAAAAAAATGAAAAAATGAGAAAAAAGGAAGGTAGTGGTAAAGAACAAAAATGTAACTTATTAATGGAAAAGAAGAAACCATGAAGAAGGGAAAACGTAAAGGTGGAAGATTGAAGGTTTTGCTTTGAAAAAAAAATAAAAAAATGAGAAAAAAAAGACGGTAGGAAAGCTCTTTTGAGGTGATGACACGTCACCGGTCCATGTTTCTGCTTTATATATATATATATATATATATATATATATATATATATATATATATATATATATATATATATATAGATTACACTTACCTTGTGGTTCATGGTTTCTTTTTCTATTTCGTCTTTATAGTTCATTTATTACAAAAAAAGACCTTGGAGATACATGTTTATTTTAATTCTTGTGGCCAAGTCCGTCTATATTTTCCCGTCAACTGCAACTATGTGCTCCTCTCATAAGCACATGTTGGTCATTTTACATTTTAAATATGACGTTCCATTTTAAAAAAAATAAAAAACCCTAAACCCCTCCTCTCTGTCCTTATTTCCTTCTCTCTCATTGTGGGATCATGAAGAACAAAAAAATATTAACGGTACATAAGTAGATCAAAATAATTTTGTTCATACAAAAGTTTGATCATTGACATATTGGGATAGTGTGTAAATGTTCGAATTATCCACTTTTGGTTTTAAAGCGATGGTTTGGACAAAAACCATACAAAATTTGAAGATATTCTACTTTATTTTAGATAAAACCATAAGTCTTGTATAATCTTCTTCATATTGTATCGTTTTCAGATTTATCATCGACCACCACTATCATTATCTCTAAGAGCCACCATCCCATGACCAATTAACCACCATAAACAAGACTATTTGAACCACATTTGTGACATAGTAGTTGAGGTCATGGGGATGTGGTAGAATATCTCATTTACCTAGAGTTCGATTCCAGGCGTACTCAACAATCGTGCCCATTGAGTTTATCACAACTGATTTTTGTAGAGATTAGTTCAGGCATAACTTGAACACCCTTCCAAAAAAAAAAAAAAAAAACAACACCACCCATTTGTCACAATAAATCAAAACTAGTACAAATATGTTCTAGTACCCACAAATATCATTTTCCACTAGCGTAGATGGATTCAAATAAACCCCAAATATCAAGAAGATTATATGATCAAATGAATCCCTGATTAAAACCCTAACACAAAACAATAAGAGGAAACATAAATGGATTGTCGAGAGAGGGAAAAACTCCAAACTTTAACGTTGTTTCCTCCCTTACCGTCACCCTGCGTTGCACTCGACATCTCCACCTTCACACTCACCATCTAGTCACTTGTCATCACCTCATCCAGAGACCAAATTCAGGAAATAAGAAGAACCCTCTCTTCTTGTTGGATTTTGAAGAACACAAAGCAAGCAGAAGCAGATTTAGGATCGATTAGAGGGATAGATAGAGAGAGATACGAAAGGCAAAATATGAAATCAATGAAAAAAAATCTAGGTTGCAAGATATGTAATGTCACTTAACGAGCACTAGATATAATAGGAATAAGGAAGAAAGGCAAAACTTCTTCTTCTGTACATAAATCGTAGATACAGAAAGTGTAACTTACTCTAGATATCACCAATTTCTTGTAATAACTAATTATCAAATGGTAAAGTTGGATTATAACCTTAGTAAAAAACCTTTTTACTCAAAAAAACATGGGTTGTAATTTTCATGAGGGGTCAAACTGCCTATTTAGACACCTAAAGTCCCCAAATTGACAAATAGACATAACTGAAGGGCTAAACTGTACTTTTAGCATTAAAGTGGTATTGGAGGGACCGGTAAAGATCTCCCGAGAGTTTAAATAGGATGTTCACAGTCTCCAACTCTTCTCTACATTTGACACAGTCGCATCAGTTTCTCTCTCTTCTAAGATCTCCGTTCCTTTCTAGAGAGAGAAAGCTCAAAGCTTCATCAATGGCGTTCGTATCTTTCCTCGGTCGAGTTCTCTTCGTATCGGTTTTCGTTCTCTCTGCGTGGCAAGAGTAAGTTCATTATATTCTTCAGATCTGATTGTTCTGACTGATTCTGACTACTTTCGGTGTTTGTGGTTTTGGATCTGAAAATTTGTTGATATACGAGTTATTTTTGGCTATTTGTGGATTAAATGTGGTATGCGACTCTTGTTATTTGCTATTGAAATTGGTTGTGTCTATGTACGATGCATTTAATGTCATTTGTAAAGATGGCACAAAATATGTAGTTGTGAAAGGAGACATGAGTCCTTTGTTTAGCTTAAATGGCAGTGGTGTAGGCAAATGTTTACAGAGAAAATTTTAATTTGCCAAGGGGACATTGGCTGCCTTTCTCGTTTGAAAATGTTGAACTTATCCTTTTAGCTTTTCTCTTGTCAATTTCAAAATCTGAAATACATGGTACTCCATCCCCCCTTAAATTATATAACTTTATATTCAAGGAATTTGAAGTGAAAAGGTTTTGGACATTTTTTTTCCACTGAATAGTAACTTTTATTTACAGTCTTTTGGATCAATGAATATGTCAAATTTGAAGCAAGGCTTCTCTGAGAAAAAAAGGACAATTGAAGTGAAGTCTTTAGGGTTTTAGAGTCGAGGCAGTAAAATTTTCAAATAGGATCTTGGGCTGTGACGAACACTCTTGGGACTGCCAGATGAACAAGTTTGTGTTTGCCCTTCATAGGAACCCTGCTTTATGTGTTTGCTGAAATAAGTGATGCAAAGAATCAACTTCCCTTTTTCAATTTAGATAAAACGTTGCTGCTTTCCAATTTGCATTTTTTTGAAGTTTATCCCAGTGAAAATTGTTTATGCAACCCTTTTTTGTGGTTTAGATGGTTTGAATTTTTTGATGTACATATTGTAGAAGGAAGTAATGTTGTATGTCTTTGTTTTAGATTAGCACATTTTGCAATTATTTGTTCCAAATCGCTCCACAAGTATCAAAAGATGGAAATATCAACAACATTCTCAATGAAATAAAATAACAAGAATGAAGTATGTTATCTCATTTAACATGGGGGAAAGAATTACTTTTGGTTCATCGATGTTTATATTAAGTGTGATCATCAATTCAAAGAGTTTGGACTGATTTAAGTCTCTGTTTAGTTTGACTGGTTCTTCATTCTTTCTTCACCTCAACAACTGATGGACCAACTGACTCGAGGCAACCAAATTTACCCTGAACGGAGTAATGCAGTGCTCTAAATCGAGGTTGTGTGGTTTGTTTGAGTGCTGATCTGGTTGTTTGGTTATTTATCCCTGTGACTGATCTAATAGAATAATTGAAACAGATTCAGACACTATGAAATAGTGGGGTCAGAATCTTATCTCTTTTTGAAGTAATAGCTCTTTTTGTTGGTAATTCTCCCATTTTGACCTTCTGATTAACTGTTGAATATAGGTTCAATGAATTTGGCAATGATGGTGGATCGGCAGCAAAAACCCTTGTGCCCAAGTTCAGTGTGTTCTCAAAGCATGTCACAGCACACACCGGGTTCCAAGTGCCAGAATTTGAGGCAAGAAATGCTGCTTAGTTCTCAATAAGATTGAACCCGTGCTTATTACCACATACATCTAATTTACATTATGGTGATACGACTTCTATAGATCAAAATTTTAGTTGCTGGAGCTATTGCCCTGAAGGGTATCGGAAGCCTCCTTTTCATCTTTGGCAGCACAATTGGTGCTTTTCTTCTGGTTAGTAACTCATATGATTATAAGCATCGTTTTCTTTGATTGTTGGCTAAGGAGTAAACCGTTAAAGCTTTTGTTTTGTTTCAGATTCTGCACCAGCTGATTGCTACTCCCATCTTGTATGATTTCTACAACTATGACGTAGAGAAGAAAGAATTCTCTCAACTGTTTATCAAATTTACACAGGTTAGAATGACACACACCCCCCCTCCTTGTTTTTGGTTGATTGTTTCATATAGTCAAATAACCAAACCAAACCAAACCAAACCAGCCCCCGTACAGATGGGTATATCCCACCGTGGTGGGGCGATGGCTACTATGTACGCACACCTGATTTTTACTATAAAAAGTAGAGCGACACTACGAAGAAGTGTAGTTAAAAATAGATTTTGTGGATTTTTGTAGAATCTAGCACTGTTGGGGGGACTCATGTTTTTCATTGGCATGAAGACCTCAATGCCAAGAAGACCATTAAACAAGAAGAAGGCTTCCAAATCAAAGACAGTCTGAGTGATGGTGGTTTTGCTTGTACTTGATTTTCCCTTTTCTATTTGTTTATTTTGTCTTTTGCTTCAACACTTGCAATGCATCTTCTTCTGTAATGTTTAGGAATCATATGGATTTTTGGTCTTTCTTTTTAGTGTATACAATTAATTCATATTTTGTTTGCTCTCAAAGTTGTTAGAAAACCATTATTTACTGTTCACTATTCCTAATATAAACCATAATAAGCAAACCTCTACCGATAGAGACTATATTCTTGTAATGTTTAATATTTATACTATATTATAAAATATTTGACAAAAACTTTTAAAAATCAACTTTTATGCATGAAGTATTGTTTATTGATGCATATTATTTAAAATTTAAGATTACAAGTAATTTTGTGTATTTACTACTTATTATTTCTTCATTTTTAAATTCGTGTAACTAACTGTAGAAAAACATAATCAAATACAAGATAAATATTTTTTTAAATATAAAAAATCTAAAATATAATTAGGATAATCGTTGAGTTCTAAATGAATACTTGATCATTATCTTTATAAAAACTTATTTTAATAAACCGAAATTAAATTATTTCGTTACGTTAAATTAAATTATAACAAATATTTTGAATTAAAAGAATTATATAAAATATAAACTTTTAAATAGTTAATTTGATACTAACATTGATATAGTTTTTTTCAAAATTTTATAATGTTCTATTCAAAAATTAAAATATTATCGTTTCTCAAAACCAGATAAAACTGTATTATATCAACATATATAAAGAATAAAATGAAACATTGAAATCGGGATGTCTTTCGATACATTACACGAATATCCTTCTAGTATATAACAAATAAAGACTGATGAAACTCTTAAATCTTTAAGAAGGATGGGTTAAATACATATTGATTTATATTATTGTTATTAGTTGTGTGCCAAAAAATGTGGTTGAGCTGGATACCGAGTATGCGTGATGATTTGAAATAAAACAGGTATAAAAACCGAGTTCGGTGGTTGTTTTTTTATTATCAAATCTTGTATAATTTGTATCTGTAAGCTAAATTATTTGGTATGAACAATCTTAAATTTGTATTTAGTTTTGTTGAATAAATTGTCTGAATAACATTAACGAAAATTTTACTCCTATTTGTTTTTATCTTTTTCATTAACAAAAAAATATTTAAGTTCTTTCAATTCATCATCCCGAATATATATAAACCATTAGATTATTTCTTGTTCTTCAAAATAAAAAGTTATTCTAAATGGAGCAAAATCCATAATATAAAAATTCATATCTAATATTATATTAAAGTTATTATAAATTCTAAATGAATTTCAAACTTGACTTTTGATTTTCAAATCTCGAACCAAAAGTCAGTTTTTGGGATATTTTGAGACTTGTGCGCTGTTGGTAACTAGATCGGTTGGAAAGAAACTGAATCGACTTCTTGAAAAATTGAATCATCGATTTTGGCGCTTGGTTGGTCATGCACGTAAATGACATCAGCAATGTCAAGACAACTGTGGGTGACACGGTCACCCATCAAGGGCGTTAGTCGAATCGTTAGAACAGGTGTTGTCCATCGGCGTGTCCTGTCGTCATTATGAATTTTTTGAGATTTAGGGTATAAATACCCTTTTTAATGTCGAGTTTCCTTTTTACACTTTTACCAAATTCCTCTCGAGAGAGAATACTTTCCTTCTCGTGTTTTCCTGCAAGAGATTAGAGTTATATATTGAAGATCCTTATATAAGGTATGAACCTCATGTCGCGTATTAAAAATTATGTGAAGAAGCCTTGAAAACATTGGGAGGTTGTAGGCTTCTATGCTGCTTCTGTTACTATTGCAGATAATCAAGAGATGAAGGATCCAATGAGCACTATAGAGGATCAAGGCGATATTGAGGCTTTCAGGATTATGATCAAAATTTCTTCGAATATCAAACTTACTAGTCCAAGCGATCTCCGGCAAAATAAATGTCCTCCGGGGTGGTTCATGCTATAAGAATATCCCTTTAAAATAGGGATTTTCTAGAAACTTTTGATAAACTCAAGGGTAGATGATGCCCCAGTTCTGGAGAATTGTCAGCGTTATTGAACGTTTGACTAGTAAACGGGAATCCCCCTTCACTATCTATGATCCGTCGGCTTCCTATTCGGTTAAACTCATTGAAAATCATCCATATAGTCTCTACCACAAGGCAAGGGGTAGTAAAATCTTATTCTCAGGCACCTCTGTTAATGACAAAGGGTGGAAGTCGAGGTATGTTTTTAGGTGGACTTATTCATTGGGTGACGAAGATCAATGGTTAGTCGAGGGTTGGAACACTGACAATAAGTATTTTCCTGGTTGTACTGTTTTTCGTGGATAATTTTAGATACTAATATCTATTTCCATGTTTGTTACAAGTATTGATTTTTCTCGTGTGTCAACCCAAGCGGATACTCCATCCAAGATTGCACGTTTCTTGCGATACTCGAATCGAGCTTTTATATCTACCATCCAAGTCATATTTTATAGCATCATGTGTTGTATAAGCCTCAACATGGGATGGACTCTCAAACTCTATGTGCATCGAAGAAAATTGAGGTAAGGACCTATCTACCTCTTTATCAACATCCTCCAAATGAGGATTTGATGGTTCATTAGCTGCATGCCCCAAAGGTTTTATGGAACACCACCTTGTTAACAAGGAGGTGAGTGGATAGGTGGAGTTAAACCAAGAGTTGGTGGGGGTTTCATAGGCAGGGTCCATCGGCTCTGAAAGACCCATTGAAGCACAATATACTCTAAGTATGATAGTTGTTCTCTTTGCTATTATCATATTTCTCAATAGGTAAAACATGTTCTTCAACACTCCGAGCTTGAGATGCCCTTGACGTAAAAGCACTTTGAGTGTATTGAGGAACATCTTCAACATTATTATCTCCAACATCTCCTTGAGACTCAACAACAACATCACCACCACCACCAGCTGCAACAAGCAAATTCTCATTAGGATTAACTTCCATAGAAACATTAATAACAACATCATGTTCTGGCACATGTTTTGGTATCACAACATTTTCAGCAACATGATTTTTATTCTGATTTTCTCAAAAGGAACCTTAATGTTTCTAACCATGAATGAAGTTTGATTAACTTCCTCATTAGAATCAGAAGAAGATTGAAAGCAGGTTTTCACGATCCTTAGAGAAGATTGCACATTAGAGCGAGATTGAGCCATTTTAGAATATTTAGGTTAACGGTTTGTAAGCATAAGGGATTCGTATGAGCAAAATATAGCAAGAGTTCATGAAAGTTCAGAATGAAGATCAATAAGAACTGTTTATCAATTTGGATTCTTATGAGATAATACAAATCACTTATGATAGAGTGATATGTGTAAATAAGGCAGGATTAATATGATGATTAAGCTAGTGAAGCGTGCTTCTAACGGGTGTATTACGATCGAAAGGTTTATTTTTGAGGTATGATAATAACTGTTCCAAAGAAAATATAACATTTGGAAAATGATGACTAGATAGTTACTTGAACTATAGTCGAGATGAGAAATTACACAAGTAATAACTCTGAAGTGCTCATATTAACTCTAAATGGTAGAGTCAGAGTCAGGGCCCTTTTTTTTCCTTGAGCTAGAGATAACTCTAAACAAAAAACATTTAAAATTCCAACTTTTTGAAATCATAAAATATGTTGAGATTAAAGAAGTGGTTTGAACATTTAATCAAAGATTTTAATCAACTTGAAAATTGTCCTTCTTTCAAGAGATTGTGAATTAAAGAACTAAAAAAAAAGAACACACCTTGATGATATTCAGAGAACTTCAGACTTAATATTTCTAGACTTGAGTACATCCAGAGTTATAGTTCATCCAGACTTAGGAAGCTAGACAAATTATGTCCAGATTTACTATATGTCTAGAGTTAGATTAAGAAATAACTAATCCCCCCCCCCCAAATTTAGCACAAGATGAACAAACAATAGTATGCAAAGATAATACTCACTCCTAAAAATGCAATCAGATCAGATGAATAATGTATAATTAATAAAGAAATCCAACCACCTTCTTTTTAGATTATCAAGAGTTACATATAAATCTGAATAAGTAACATCACAGTTTGGAGTTAAATTTTCAAAGTTATATGATAACTTTGAATTAGCTAAGTCAGATATCTGAAGTACTTATTCAGAGTTAAAAGATAGAATTTTCATAAATTCTAAGAGTTGAAGTTTCTCAAATTTGAATGAACTAAAGCAGATCTCTGAACTATCTATTCAGAGCTCGATACTTAGTCAAATAAAGCACAAAACTCTGAAATCTGAATTATGAAAATATTGAACTCTTGAGCTACAATAGATATATTTTGGTAGCCAAATTTAACATGCCTAATTTACTCGCTAGAAAATTAAATTTTCTCATCCAACGGCTTAGTGAATAAGTCTGGAAGTGGAAAATCAGTTTGTACAAAGTACATTTTAATTGTACCTTTTTCAACATGATCTTTTATGAAATGATACATGATATTAATATGCTTAGTCTTGGAGTATTCACAAGATCAACATTTATAGCAATGGCATTCTTTAAATCACAATAATTTAGGATTTTGTTAAAGATGTATTCATAATCCTTAAGTTGTGTTTTCATCCAGATTACTTGTGAACAACAACTTGTTGCAGCTACATATTCTGCTTTTGCAGTTGGCATTGAAACATAATTTTGTTTCTTGGAAATCCAACTGTCCAACTTATTTTCTAAAAATTGACATGATCCAAAGGTACTCTTCCGGTCCAATTTACAACCAACATGATCTGCATTTGTAAATGCTATTATATCAAAACCAGAATCCTTAGAATACCAAAGACCCAGACTATGTGTGCCTTTGAGATATTTTAGGATTCTTTTCACAGCTAGAAGATGAGATTCCTTAGGATTGGCTTGATACATTGCATAACAACATGTAACAAACATAATATACATTCTACTTGTAGTTAAGTACAATAAAGAACCAATCATGCCTCTATAAGTCTTTTGATCAACATATTTTCCACTTAAATCTGCATCAAGTTTTACTCCAATGGCCATTGGAGTCTCTATAGAAGTTAATTCAGACATGTTATACTTCTTTAAAAGATCTTTGACATACTTAGCTTCATCAATGAATATTCCTTTAAGATATTTCTTGATTTGAAGT